CCAGCACACGTGGATGCCGCCGTGAATCTTTCAGTTATGGTTGGTTCAGACGATGATGGAACAGTCGCCCAGGAACTAGAACTAGAGCAAATGAGGAGTATATTGGAGGAGGCTATTTTGGAAACGCGCAGTATGCCTCTCGAAAATCGACCGCGACTCCCGCGCATGCCCCTAAGCAAGCGGAATCGGGCTGTCGTGAGGGCTCTCAACCCAATGCTGGTGACCTATTTGGAAGCCAGCCGGGACCTTTGCGAGACGGACTCAATACTTTTTGGCGCCGCACTGGCAGCTCGCCGCATTATTGGCGCCAAAGTTCCCACGGCTGGACGCGCTACTAGACAAAGTAGCGTGATCCCAGCCTGGAGAAGAAGGATTGAGGACCGTATCGCAAAGGCAAGGGCCCTCATCGGCAGACTGATAAGCTTCAGGTCGGGCAATAATAGGCCGAGAATTGTGCGCACCGTCAGGATGGGGTTTGCTGGGACAAATATCAATTTGTCCCAGCCGGATATAACGCAAAAACTGACGGAGCGCATAGACGACCTGAAGCAGAGAATCGCTGCTTGGGGGAAGCGGATTCGGCGATATACCGAGAGGTCGACACGGTTCAACCAGAATCGTCTCCTCCGGAGTGATCAGAAGAGGCTCTATGAATCACTGGAGCGACCAATGGTACGTGGAACGGGCCCAGCACCGAATCAGGCCGACACTATCACATTCTGGCGCGGCCTGTGGTCAGAGCCCGTAAACCACAGTGAGGGCCCTTGGACGGAAGTTGTGGCGAGTCAGTGTGCGAATGTTACGCCCATGGACCCCGTCATCATTACGCCGGATGACGTAGCTGAGGCGGTCCGTAGGGCCCCGAACTGGAAAAGTCCGGGACTCGACGGACTGCATCACTACTGGCTGAAGGGGTTCGTGGTGTGTCACGCTGTTCTCGCCCCACAGTTTCAAGAGGCTCTCGACCAAAAGTCGCTCCCGAGCCTCTTCACTACTGGGATCACTCATTTGGTTCCTAAAGACCGAGATTCCACAGACCCGAGCAAATACCGCCCCATAACGTGTCTACCTACCATATACAAGACACTGACATCCATTTTGAGCGCGAGAATCACTCGTCACCTGAACTAAAATCAGGTGATGTCGCGCGCTCAAAATGGATGTCGGGGCGGTGGTCGTGGAACCAAGGAACCACTCATCATTGACGCGGTCATTGGCAAGGTGGTTAAACGCAACCGTCGGAACCTCTCCGCCGCCTGGATAGACTACAAAAAGGCATTCGACTCGGTGCCTCATACATGGCTGAAGAGGGTCCTCGAGCTGTACAAGGTTGACTGTACAGTTCGAGACTTCCTCGGGCAGTGTATGGGGCAGTGGAGTAAGATCCTTTGTCATCTAGGCGAGCGGATGACGGCTGCGGAGAACCACTAAAGGATAAGAAGGGGTATCTTCCAGGGCGATTGTCTGAGTCCAATATGGTTCTGCCTCTCTCTGAACCCTCTTAGTACCTTACTGGAGGGTTCCGGGAGGGGATTTCAGCTTCGGAGAGGAGGTACAAAAGTGACCCACCTTTTCTATATGGATGATCTCAAGTTATTCGCCTCCAGTCGCTCTCATCTTATGGAATTGCTAAACATCACTTGTGATTTTAGCAATTCTATTAGAATGGAGCTGGGGACGGATAAGTGTGCGGTCCTCCATGTCGAAAGGGGTAGGGTTGCTAACTCTGAGGGCATAGACTTATCTATGCCCATCAACATAAAGACCCTATCCGAGGCTGAAACATACCGATACCTGGGTATGTCACAGAACATAGGTATCGGTGAGGCGGACATGAAACGGTCAGTTTGCGGTGTGTTTTATGCACGCTTGACAAAAGTGCTCAACAGTCTTTTGTCGGGCGTTAATAAGACACATGCATATAACGGTTGGATCATGCCTGTTCTCATGTATACCTTTGGCATGCTCAGGTGGACTCAGACCGAACTGAACGCTCTGGACAGAAAAGTCCGCACTATAATGACGTCCCACAGGATGCATCATCCGAGATCGTCAGTAATGAGGCTGTACTTGCCGCGGAAGCATGGTGGGCGCGGCTTTTTAAGCGCGCTTACCATGCATAATCGCGAAGTGTGCAGCCTCCGTAATTACTTTCTGACGAGAGCGGATGATCCATTCTATAGGGACGTTATTTCTTGTGATAAAGGACTTACCCCTCTATCCTTAGCCAACGAGCAATGGCAAGACCCGGCAGTACAGAGCATTTCCGACCGGGAGACCGTATGGAAGGAGAAGGAGCTCCACGGGAGGTTCTACAAGGCTCTACATGAGCCTTGCGTAGACACAGTCGCCTCCCTCCACTGGCTACGTTTCGGTGACCTCTTTGGGGAAACCGAGGGTTTTGTCTGTGCGATACAGGATCAGGTTATTAAGACCAACAATTATCGGAAATACATCCTATAGGATGGCGCCGTCGACATCTGTCGAGCTTGTCGCCATCCCGGTGAGTCACTTAGGCATGTTATCTCCGGTTGTTCGGCGCTTTCTAACTCTGAGTATTTGCACAGACACAACCTAGTAGCCAGGATTCTACACCAGGAGCTCGCTCTGAAATACGGACTCGTGGATCGGAAACTGCCATATTACAATTACTTGCCGCAAGCCGTGCTCGAAAATGACCGCGCCAGGCTCTACTGGGACCGGGCCATCATCACGGACAGGACTATTCTTGCGAATAAGCCTGATATTGTGCTGATGGACCGGGCACAGTCAAGGATATTTTTGGTCGACATTACCATTCCTTATGACGAGAACCTCGTAAAAGCCGAAACAGATAAGTTGACAAAATATCTGGACCTGGCTCACGAGGTGACCGACATGTGGGGTGGTCTGCCGGCCTAAATTATTCCTGTGGTCGTTTCTGCGAATGGGTTAATCCCAGTCAGCCTCTCGTGTCATCTGAGGCGACTGGGACTCCGTGACGGATCGCTTCAAGCTCAAATGCAGAAGGCGGTGCTCCTCGATACCGCCCGCATCGTCCGCCGGTTTCTTTCCCTTTCCCCCTAACCCTCGGCCGTTTGGTCACCCCTGCCGAGGGCTTCCATCTGGTTGGGTTTTTATATATTTATGTATTTTTATGTATTTATAGCATACAGGCAACTGAACAGACAGATCTCCAAATGCATGCGGCGGGACTTACGCAACTTCAATACAGCTCGTATTGAAGAAGCGATCGAGCGGAACCAAGGCTCCAAAGTCTTTGCCAGAGATCTGTCTGCCAGAAAGAGCCAACTGTCAGGGCTGAAGACCGAATGTGGCAGCATCGTTTCCGGGGCACCTGAGATTTTGAGTGAGATTGAGAGGTTCTATGGGCAGCTGTACACGTCATCGTTGGAGCCACACGCAAGTGTGAGTAACGATCCAAGAGCGAGTCTTATCCGACATTATTCCGATGATATCCCGGACGTCAGTCTGAGCGAGATTAGAATGGCTCTCCAGCACCTTAAAAACGGCAAGGCCCCAGGCCAGGATGGAATTACAGCGGAGCTTCTGAAAGCGGGTGGAAAACCGGTACTTGAAGTCCTTCAGAAGCTCTTTAATTCCGTCCTCCATGGTGGCATAACACCGGAGGCGTGGAGCAGAAGTGCGGTGGTCTTGTTCTTCAAGAAAGGCGACAACGCTCTCTTGAAGAACTACAGACCGATTTCCCTTCTGAGCCGCGTCTACGTGCTGTTTTCGAGAGTCATTACGAATCGTCTCGCGCGCAGACTTGACGACTTCCAGCCTCCCGAACAAGCCGGTTTCCGAAAAGGCTTTAGCACCATAGACCACATACATACCCTTCGGCAAATTGTACAGAAGTCCGAGGAGTACAATTTGCCACTATGTCTGGCGTATGTGGACTATGAGAAAGCCTTTGATTCCGTCGAAATTTGGGCGGTGCTGCAGTCCCTTCAGCGATGCCAAGTTGACTGTCGGTATATCGAAGTGTTGAAGTGCTTGTACAGTAGGGCTACGATGGCTATCCGAGTACAGAACCAGAGTACGAAACCTATCCAATTGCAGAGAGGTGTAAGACAGGGTGACGTCATATCCCCGAAACTCTTCACCGCTGCATTGGAAGATGTTTTCAAGCTTCTGGACTGGAAAGGATACGGTATCAACATCAATGGCGAGTACATCACTCACCTTCGATTTGCCGACGATATAGTCCTTATGGCAGAATCGCTGGAGGACCTAAGCACTATGCTCAATGACCTCAATAGTGTTTCCCAACGGATAGGTCTTAAGATGAACATGGACAAAACAAAGATCATGTTTAATGTCCATGTCACACCTATGCCGGTAGTTGTTGGGAACACTAAGCTCGAAGTTGTTGACGAGTATGTTTACCTGGGACAAATAGTCCGACTAGGTAAGTCCAACTTCGACCGAGAGGTCAATCGACGGATTCAACTCGGTTGGGCAGCGTTCAGGAAATTACGGCACATCTTCTCGTCAGGTATACCTCAAAACTTGAAAACGAGACTGTACACCCAGTGCGTGTTGCCAGTGATGACATACGGAACTGAGACGTGGTCCTTCACTGCTGGCCGGATGAGGAAGCTCAAGGTTGCTCAGCGAGCTATGGAGAGGGCTATGCTCGGAGTTTCTCTGCGTGATAAACTCAGAAATGAGGATATCCGCAGTAGAACCAGAGTGACCGACATAGCCCAACGGATTAGTAAGCTGAAGTGGCAATGGGCCGGCCATATAGCTCGAAGAACCGACACCCGATGGGGAAGAAAGGTTCTCGAGTGGCAGCCTCGTACCGGCAGGCGAAGTGTAGGGCGTCCCCCCACTAGATGGAGTGACGACCTGGTAAGATTTGCAGGAAGTCGATGGATGCAGGTGGCTCAGGACCGTGCTTTGTGGCATTCTTTGGGGGAGGCCTATGTTCAGCAGTGGACTTGTGAAGGGCTGTAATGATGATGATGATGATGTATTTATTTTATTTTATTGATATTTGTGTAAGTTTATCATTTTCATTTACTATTATATATTTATACAGCCCAACCAGATGAGAAAACTCATACAAATACCCCATAATAATAATAGTTATCTTCCAGGGCGATTGTTTGAGTCCAATCTGGTTCTGCCTCTCTCTGAACCCTCTTAGTACCTTACTGGAGGGTTCCGGGAGGGGATTTCAGCTTCGGAGAGAAGGTACAAAAGTGACCCACCTTTTCTATATGGATGATCTCAAGTTATTCGCCTCCAGTCGCTCTCATCTTATGGAGTTGCTAAACATCACTTGTGATTTTAGCAATTCTATTAGAATGGAGCTGGGGACGGATAAGTGTGCGGTCCTCCATGTCGAAAGGGGTAGAGTTGCTAACTCTGAGGGCATAGATTTATCTATGCCCATCAACATAAAGACCCTATCCGAGGCTGAAACATACCGATACCTGGGTATGTCACAGAACATAGGTATCGATGAGGCGGACATGAAACAGTCAGTTTGCGGTGTGTTTTATGCACGCTTGACAAAAGTGCTTAACAGTCTTTTGTCGGGCGTTAATAAGACACATGCATATAACGGTTGGATCATGCCTGTTATCATGTATACCTTTGGCATGCTCAGGTGGACTCAGAACGAACTAAACGCTCTGGACAGAAAGTCCGCACTATAATGACGTCCCACAGGATGTATCATCCGAGATCGTCAGTAATGAGGCTGTACTTGCCGCGGAAGCATGGTGGGCGCGGCTTTTTAAGCGCGCTTACCATGCATAATCGCGAAGTGTGCAGCCTCCGTAATTACTTTCTGACGAGAGCGGATGATCCATTCTATAGGGACGTTATTTCTTGTGATAAAGGACTTACCCCTCTATCCTTAGCCAACGAGCAATGGCAAGACCCGGCAGTACAGAGCATTTCCGACCGGGAGACCGTATGGAAGGAGAAGGAGCTCCACGGGAGGTTCTACAAGGCTCTACATGAGCCTTGCGTAGACACAGTCGCCTCCCTCCACTGGCTACGTTTCGGTGACCTCTTTGGGGAAACCGAGGGTTTTGTCTGTGCGATACAGGATCAGGTTATTAAGACCAACAATTATCGGAAATACATCCTAAAGGATGGCGCCGTCGACATCTGTCGAGCTTGTCGCCATCCCGGTGAGTCACTTAGGCATGTCATCTCCGGTTGTTCGGCGCTTTCTAACTCTGAGTATTTGCACAGACACAACCTAGTAGCCAGGATTCTACACCAGGAGCTCGCTCTGAAATACGGTCTCGTGGATCGGAAACTGCCTTATTATAAGTATATGCCGCAAGCCGTGCTCGAAAATGGCCGCGCCAGGCTCTACTGGGACCGGGCCATCATCACGGACAGGACTATTCTTGCGAATAAGCCTGATATTGTGCTGATGGACCGGGCACAGTCAAAGATATTTTTGGTCGATATTACCATTCCTTATGACGAGAACCTCGTGAAAGCCGAAACAGATAAGTAGACAAAATATCTGGACCTGCCTCACGAGGTGACCGACATGTGGGGTGGTCTGCCGGCCGAAATTATTCCTTTGGTCGTCTCTGCGAACGGGTTCATCCCAGTCAGCCTCTCGGATCATCTGAGGCGACTGGGACTCCGTGACGGATCGCTCCAAGCTCAAATGCAGAAGGCGGTGCTCCTCGATACCGCCCGCATCGTCCGCCGGTTTCTTTCCCTTTCCCCCTAAACCCTCGGCCGTTTGGTCTCCCCTGCCGAGGGCTTCCATCTGGTTGGGTTTTTATATATTTATGTAATTTTTATGTATTTATTTTATTTTATTGATATTTATGTAAGTTTATCATTTTCATTTACAATTATATATTTATACAGCCCAACCAGATGAGAAAACTATACAAATACCCCATAATAATAATTATTATTATTATATATATTTATACAGCCCAACTAGATGAGAAAACTATACAAATACCCCATAATAATAATGTCCTCCAGACCGAATTTCGGTCACTGAGACTAGCCATCGGCGCAGGACAGGATTATAGTGCCCAAGTGTATGCACAAACACAGGTGCACTCTCTATTCCCTCACTCTCATAGCCCGATGGGACGGTAAACCGACACGACCGAAGAGAGATCAGGCGCAGGACCAACGGATTAACGTGCTTTCCGAGGCACGGGGGTGAAACACGGCCAACTTCCTGACTCTGGGCAGCTACTGAGAATTTCTTGACGGAAAAACTTAATAACTGATTTTTTGGCCCGACCCGGGATTCGAACCCGGGACATCATGATCAGCAGTCGTACTACTACAACCACTAGACCAACGAGGCAGTCATCCTATTAAATATGCTAGAGAACATAGATATTCCAGTAAAAGTTTAAAGTGTTTGCGAACTATTTAAAAAATTGGTGCCAATGTTTAAAAATCAATAAGGTCACTACCTCTGAAGAAAAAATAACTCGTTTTGAGGTGCCCCAAAGTAGTATTTGGGCCAAACCTGTTCACCTTAATAATGTCGACAGATTGATCATATCTCCATACAAAACTTAAAAACAAATTCTTAAGACTAGTGAAATTAAAAAGATTTCAACAATGTTTACAAAACCGTGTTACTACCCAGTTTAATGTGTATGTTCCATTCTATTAATGTACTCCTGATGGCACATTCTTGAAAAGGACTATGTTAGGCTAAAAAAAGGTTCAAGAATGAAATCGATGGAAAGAAAATTATGTAAATAATAAAATATTGAATGTTCTAAAACAATATTCAAATTAACACATAACATATTAAAGACCGTAAAATTTAACAGTATATAACATATACGTACCTGATCTAGGTAAAGTTACAACAAAGGTATCACTCGGTCTAATTTCCATGTTGTATATATTTTTACCAACGCTCTCAAACTTTCTAGTGAAGAGGTAACCTTTGGGTCCAAAACGCGTAGTACATAGTTTCGTATTTTCTGGTTCAAAAAAAGTTCAACATTGACAACATTTTTTCATAATGTAACACTTACCAATTGTCTCATTCGATTGTCATAATACTGGTAAAATGGAGTAAGTAAAACTGCTAGCGTTGCTATCGCCAAGCCACTAAAAATTTGGATATTATGGCAAATCTTGTAGAAACAAGATGCAACGTATTATAGTTAGAGCACGAGAGGATCTTTCAATCAGGAAAGAACCACGCTCTCACAGAATTCTAGCGTAAAATTCAAAAAAGCTAAATTTACGGCCTTAGTTCGCCAAATGAAGGGCACTGGCCCTATCTCGTGTCTGAGAGGGTTATGGAAACAATTTGTCCACCGGGTTCCAGTGCGCGTTGACAGACATCACATGCGCTTATAGTTACCACTGCTCTTACTAGCGTCAAATAGCAGCATAATACTGTTTCACTGTGTTATATTATTGTCAGCTTAATAACGAGATATCGTGTCACATGTGGCGATTGTAAAAAACCGAAGTCCTTTTTTACTGGAAACAAGGCATTGCATCTTACTCTTCAAGGGTTACAACGCATCTGCATATTGATTCTTAATCGAGGATAGATGTTGGTGTCTATGGACCTCATCATTTACTTACCATCATTTTAACTATGTGCTCATTTGTCACCCTTATCTTATAAAACTTAGCTGTTTTTAACACAAAGAGTTACTGCAGCGTGGTTATACAATGTATAAGTAAATTATTTAGCTAGCATTGTGAATTTCTAAATAATGACAATTAAAAAGTATACTCGTCATTATCATCATCATTACAGCCATTCACAAGTCCATTGCTGAACATAGGCCTCCCCCAAGAAATGCCACAAAGCACGGTCCTGAGCCACTTGCATCCATCGACTTCCTGCATGTCTCAGCATGTCGTAACTCCATCAAGGGGGGGGGGGGGTCGCCCTACACTTCGCCTACCGGTACGAGGCTGCCACTCAATAACCTTTTTTCCACATCGGTTGTATACCCAGAGCATAGCCCTCTCCATAGCTCGCTGAACGACCTTGAGCTTCCTCATACGGCCAGCAGTGAAGGACCATGTCTCAGATCCGTAAGTCATCACTGGCAACACGCACTGGTTGTACAATTTCGTTTTCAGGTTTTGAGGTATGTCTAACGAGAAGATGTGTCGTAGTTTCCCGAACGCTTTCGAGTTGAATCCGTCGATTGACCTCTCGGTCGAAGTTCGACTTACCTAGTCGGACTATTTGTCCCAGGTAAACATACTCGTCAAAAACTTCGAGCTTAGTGCTCCCAACAACTACCGGCATAGATGTTACATTGACAATAAACATGATCTTTGTAATGTCCATGTTCATCTTAAGACCTATCCGTTGGGAGACACTATTGAAGTCATTGAGCATAATGCTTAGGTCCTCCAGCGATTCTGCCATAAGGACTATAGCGTCGGCAAATCGAAGGTGAGTGATGTACTCGCAATTGATATTAATACCGCATCCTTTCCAGTCCAGTAGCTTCAAAACGTCTTCCAATGCAGCGATGAAGAGTTTCGGGGATATAATGTCACCCTGTCTTACACCTCTCTGCAGTTGGATAGGTTTCTTACTCTGGTTCTGTACTCGGATAGCCATGGTAGCTCTACTGTACAAACACTTCAGCACTTTGATATACAGACAGTCAACTTGGTACCGCTGAAGGGACTGCAGCACCGCCCAAATTTCGACGGAACCAAAGGCTTTCCCATAGTCCACATACGCCAGACATAGTGGCAAATTGTACTCTTCGGACTTCTGTACAATTTGCCGAAGGGTATGTATGTGGTCTATGGTGCTAAAATCCTTTCGGAAACCGGCTTGTTCGGGAGGCTGGAAGTCGTCAAGTCTGCGCGCGAGACGATTCGTAATGACTCTCGAAAACAGCACGTAGACGCGGCTCAGTTCTTCAAGAGAGCGTTGTCACCTTTCTTGAAGAACAAGACCACCGCACTTCTGCTCCACGCCTCCGGTGTAATGCCACCATGTAGGACGGAATCAGTAAAAAAGAATATTAGCGGAATATTATTTAAATATGGTGGTGGAAATGCATGATGGGACAGTTATGAGTATTATTGAGGAATATTACTGGCATCACAGTGGTATCGTAACTTATAATGTGTTTCACTTACTTTGATAAGATTGCTTCAATTTTTCAACTTGTTCAGGTTCGATATCTCGAATTTCGAAAGGGAAGCTCTTGTTGGATGTAGTCATTATTATATGTCTTATCTATAAAAATTGTAAAAAGTTTTCGAAGTATGCTGAAAAAAAAATTAAATAATTTTTATTAATCATTAATTTACGTAAATAAAATACTTATTCGTATCACTATATAGCTAATGGTATCAAATATTGGTAAATCCAATTGTGCAAGCCTTAATCGCATTAACAAATTACGTATTACCCATAATCATAATTTATTTGCAGAAAACAAGTTTTCACTAATAACCTTATTATTATATTTCCAATTTTCCAATAGTTTTATGTCAAACTTCAATTTTAAAAAAGTTTTGAAAATCTAAATGCACGCACGCACGCAATGCACGACTCATAATGCTCGTATGTTCATCATATCATCATTGAGGACATCCCATGAAGTCCAAGACGTATTTAAGTATATTTATATATAAATCCTTACTTTTAGTACGTAGTACTTTTATTTATCCTGTGCTTTTAAAATTGTAATAAAAATCTGTGATTATAATAATAATCAAGTTTGGATTTTCGAATATTTTGTATTTGTATAGCGATCTTTTTGAGCACGAGCCGCTGTGCTGCAAACAACCGATAATTCTATCTTTATTATTTTGACACCAACGTGATTTTGATTTAAAAATTCTTCTAATTTCTAGCATTTCATCATATATTAGAATGTAGTTTCCAAATTAAACTTGCGTATTCTAGTATGCTTCTTACAAATACTGAGAATACTCTGCAAGTGCGTATTACAAAGCCCACGTTACGAAAAGATTTATTAATTATGAGTGAGCCGAGTCTGAAGCTCTAAAGTAACACCAAGATCACGTACAAGTTGAACCCTTTCAATTGAAATATCATTAAAGTTATATGAATATATGATTGAATTTATTTTGCGAGTGAATCTTATGATTTGGCATTTACCAAGGCTGAGTGTTATTCTATTATTAACGTAATAATCGTAAATGCGACCTAAATCTTTCTGTAATAATTTATAATCCTCTATATAATAATAGTCTAAGACTGGAATACAAAATTTTGTGGATAATTTGACTTCTTCGATTTTGCATAATTCGAAAAATATTTAGGTGAATGTTTTATATACTTTTCTATGTTACTTGTAAAACGCTTATAACATTGTGCCTGTACCCGATGAAATCTATCCTTTAAGAGTGAAAATTCGTCATAATCCCTCGGATTTCCATATTTAATTTCTTCCATCACAGATGCGCTACAGTTTTATTTTTCATTATATTTGAAGAATAATTTTTTTTGAAGTTTTAGGAATGTAAAGAGCAAAACATTCCAATAATTTTCCATAATATATATCAATAGCTGACTCAATAGAATTTGTATTTAAAATATTATTCCAATCAACCGATTTAAGGTATTTATTTATAATTTCATAATTATGGTTATAAAAATTTTATACCTTAGCTGAGGACATTAGGCTTAGAAATTCCTAATTGGACAAGTCTCGGACAATAATAAATAAAGGTGGAAGAAAAACGTCAGCTTGTACTAAAGGCTGAGTTGAATTTATGGACAGTAAAAGGTTAGAAAAATGGGGATCCAGGGTATTTCCGCATATGTTTTGAAAATTGTATCGGTTAAAGCCTAGAAAAACTAAAGTTATTCTACAAGTATTAAAACACAGTTTTGAGTATCCATACTGCCGATCTGCGCAAGGACCATCATTGTTCAGGCATCATTGTTCAGTCGTAGGCAGGGCAAGTTAAAGTCCCCTACTAATAAGTAATTCTCAGCAGGATGAATATTGCGAAATCGTAATAAACTATTTTTTATATTTTCTATGCACAGTTGGTTTTAATTATCATCGGGAGGGACATACCTACTTATACCAAAAAAAAAATGCAAGTTCGTGGATGCATGAAGCGTACGCGCAGGAATAGTTACACAAAGCGATTTGATAAGTGCATATTCAGACTCACATCTAAGCAACGGACATAAATTACGTTTGACGCATATCATAACACCCCCGACTATTTGTTTATTACTAATAACAAGGTCCCGGTCGCATCTAAAAATTTCGTACCACAGCTTCGTCACATAGCTCATAATTATGAATGTCGCTTTGTAGCCATATCTAAATTAAAAATATAATATCATAGTCGTACGTTAAAATGTTGTTATATAATGTCAACACACTTAGTCCGAAGTCCAAGAACATTTTGATAAAAGATGCTTATCACCTCCGTATGCTATGTGTGTATAAATAAATAATAATTACTTAAATTGTAATAGCAAGATTTAGTAAAATTATCTTTTCTTTTATTGAGTAAATAATATCGCTTATAACCAAAAATTGTAAATAATATACTTATTGTGTGTATATTGTTGTCGTCAGCTCAAAAACGGGGATTTGTTAAAGAAAGACCTAATATTCCACATAATCACATCTTATATTTGCATAAAATAATACAACATCACAGGGCTTACATAATATCATAGCAAATAAATTCACACGTACTTACAGTTTCAGTTTCCCAATAATTAGATATTAATTATTAACTACTATTACAAATACTTCGGCGCTTTATTGCTCACGACTTACTTCCTCTGAACTTCGAACCAGAATGCCGTGTTACGTGTTAAGGCGGCTACTGACCTGCCTGCTGCAAGGGCAATCTAGGAAGCACCGCGATCGGAGCAATATCGGAGCTGTCTCTACACACACGCCTGCCGTAATGCCGTTCAGTGTGAGAGTGTACGTCTCGCTGGACGCACGCGTTGAAAATGACGCCAGTTTTATCGAAATATCAATGAATCAGTAAATATATTGGCCTTGGCTCTTTTTTATATAGAATAAGGGTGACAAATGAGCACAGTCCACCTGATGGTAAGGTGACACTATGGCCTATAGACATCCACATTTATCAATAAAACAACCAATTAATTAATAATTACAACCATAATGTAGTGCTTAAAAGCTGCAGCATAGCTCTGCCACGCTATTTTTAGGCTATCAAAGACAATTAAATATGACTAACTTTACTCGTCATGATTCAAGTTAAGTAATTAAGTGAAATAAAATTAAGTTATATCACAGAACAAATTGGTTATATACCAATTTGTTCTGTGATATAACTTAACTATCTAGCGCTTAGTAACTATAATTTAACTAGTGTTACAAATAGCCAGGATAGTTTTCTAACGATGGTTTTAATAAAATTTATTTACTAAAATTTGTATTTTTGTTTAAATATTTATTTAATGCCATTTTATTTATATTCCAGCAATTTTAATATTATTGGAATATTTACTTTCCCATACTAGCCCGTATGATAAGTTAGGTAACAAATCCCAGTAATGTTACTTGTAAGTTACAACGTTCAAATAACGTTCTTTCTGCGGTTCTGACTTGTACTCATACGTGTGCTCCTCGCGAAAGTCGCAACGAACTGAACGAAATTGGCCCAATTGCGCTACACACGCAACAGCGGCAGGGCCGATCTAGGGAGCAAGGAAGGTCTTGCGCTCCTGCAGTGTTGCAAAAGTGAAAAATAAAAAATCGGTAGATTTGCCAGCTAAAAATATGGAGAAATCGGGAGATTTTTATTTACATCCATGGGTTTAGAAATGTATCATAAAACGTTCTTTTAGATGCCGTTCTTTTTCGTTTCATTTTTTTTGCGATCAAAATAATGTCTTTATAATTTAAACTAAAATTTTATGATTATATATTTTTGCTACTCACGCTTTTCCAAAATTCTTCTGTTTCTTCACTGAGTGATTTAATTTCTTTCGTATTTAGAAGCAAACGCCATTCTAAATTAATTTTTTTATAACTAATGCTACCTAACAAATTTGGACATCAAGCACAACAGTTCTCAACAAAACAGAATAAGGCTAGTAATTAGTGAATGTAATTCTATGAACGAACAACACTATATATACATGGCCTAAGCTACCTAATTCGTAAAACAACCCGAACAAAGTAATCTTTGGGGATCTCCCTCGTACACTTACCAGACAATAATGAACTTTATTTTAAGATGTATCAGTGCAATATGCTTTAACCATACTGCGAAGTTAAAAACCTAATAAGGTTATAGGTATAGGTCCCATAGGACGTGATGCGAGCAATTTCGGGAAGTCCCCGTACATAGATTTTGTGTTAAAAGTTCATTTTAGTATTTTGATTATTACTTTTCAATTTTATTTATGATTATTATTTTACATTAGTTTAAAATGTAAAAAATCGAGAGATACGTTCGCTAAATATCCCGATATCCCTATCGGGAGATACTAATTAAAATCAGTAGATCTCCCGATAAATCGGGAAGTTTTGCAACACTGTGCTCCTGCCGCCCAGCCGCAGGGCCGACTTAAAAAATTGCCCCTGCTTGCCTACACACAACACAATTAAGGAGGCAATTAAGGGTCATCCCCACTTCTACACGGAGTCCCAGCCGCCTCAGATGACCCGAGAAGCTGACTGGGATTAACCCGTTTGCAGAAACGACTACAGGTATAATTTCGGTCGGCAGTCCGCCCCACATGTCGGTCACCTCGTGAGCCAGGTCCAGATATTTTGTACATTTGTTTGTTTCGGCTTTCACGAGGTTCTCGTCATACGGAATGGTAATGTAGACCAAAAATATCCTTGACTGTGCCCGGTCCATCAGCACAATATCAGGCTTATTCGCAAGAATGGTCCTGTCTGTGATGATGGCCCGGTCCCAGTAGAGCCTTGCGCGGTCATTTTCGAGCACGGCTTCCGGCATGTACTTACAATAAGGCAGTTTCCGATCCACGAGACCGTATTTCAGAGCGAGCGCCTGGTGTAGAATCCTGACTACTAGGTTGTGCCTATGCAAGTACTCAGAGTTAGAAAGCGCCGAACAACCGGAGATGACATGCTTAAGTGGTTCAACGGGATGGCGACAAGCTCGACAAATGTCGACGGTGCCATTCCTTAGGATGTATCTAAGGTGTTCATCCTGACGAATGTCATCCTGATCCTGTATTGCACAGACAAAACCCTCGGTTTCCTCGAAGAGGTCACCAAAACGTAGCCAGTGGAGGGAGGCCACTGTGTCTACGAAAGGCTCATGTAGAACCTTGTAGAACCTCCCGTGGAGCTACTTCTCCTTCCATACGGCCTCCCGGTCGGAAATGCTCTGTATTGCCGGGTCTTGCCATTGCTCGTTGGCTAAAGATAGAGGGGTAAGTCCTTTATCACATAAAATAACGTCCCTATAGAATGGATCATCCGCTCTAGCCAGAAAGTAATTACGGAGGCTGCACACTTCGCGATTATGCATGGTAAGCGCGCTTAAAAAGCCGCGCCCACCATGTTTCCGCGGCAAGTACAGCCTCATCACAAACGATCTCGGATGATGCATCCTGGGGGACGTCATAATAGTGCGGACTTTTCTATCCAGAGCGTTCAGTTCGGTCTGGGTCTACCTGAGTATGCCAAACGTATACATGAGAACAGGAATGATCCAACCGTTATATGCGTGTGTCTTATTAACGCCCGACAAAAGGCTGTTAAGCACTTTTGTCAAGCGTGCATAAAACACATCGCAAACTGACTGCTTCGTACCCGCCTCATCGACACCGATGTTCTGTGACATACCCAGGTATCGGTATGTTTCAGCCTCGGATAGGGTCCTTATGCTGATGGGCATAGATAAGTCCATGCCCTCAGAGTTAGCAACCCTTCCCCTTTCGATATGGAGGATCGCACACTTATCCGTCCCCAGCTCCATTCTAATAGAATTGCTAAAATCACAAGTGATGTTTAGCAATGCCATAAGATGGGAGCGACTGGAGGCGAATAACTTGAGATCATCCATATAGAAAAGGTGGGTTACTTTTGTATCTCCTTTCCGAAGCTGAAATCCCCTCACGGAACCCCCCAGTAAGGTACTGAGAGGGTTCAGAGAGAGGCAGAACCAGATTGGACTCAAACAATCGCCCTGGAAGATACCCCTTCTTATCCTTATGTGGTTCTCCGCAGCCGTCATCCGCTGGCCTAGACGACAAAGGATCGTACTCCACTAGCCCATACACTGCCCGAGGAAGTCTCGAACCGTACAGTCAACCTTGGACCCTCTTAAGCCATGTATGAGGCACCGAGTCGAATGCCTTTTTGTAGTCTATCCAGGCGGCAGAGGTTCCGACGGTTTCGTTTAACCACCTTGCCAATGACCGCGTCAATGAGGAGTGGTTCCTTGGTTCCACGACCACCGCCCCGACATCCATTTTGAGCGCGCGACATCACCTGATTTGAATTCAGGTGATAAGTGATTCTCGCGCTCAAAATGGATGTTAGTGTCTTGTATATCCTCTCTAGCTCTAGCCTTTGCGATACGGTCCTCAATCCTTCTTCTCCAGGCTGGGATGGCGCTACTTTGTCTAGTAGCGCGTCCAGCCGTGGTTATTTTGGCGCCAATAATACGGCAAACTGCCAGTGCGGCGCCAAAAAGAATTAAGTCCGTCTCGCAAAGGTCCCGGCTGGCTTCCAAATAGGTCACCAGCATTGGGTTGAGAGCCCTCACGACCTCCCGATTCCGCTTGCTTAGGGGTATGCGCGGGAGTCGCCATCCATGGCGCCCTCTATATGTGGCTGCTGGTCTGTGGCCTGAAGAGCCGCATCCCCAGCTATAGCCGGTTCATTCGATGAGGGAATAGCCTCACGTCGTAGTCGTTCGAGTTCGGCATCATCAAATATTTTCGAGCGTATGATGTACCGAACTCGGTCTGCCAGGTTTTGCTCCGTGACGGGAACTGACGGCTCAAGCTCAGCAAAAAAGCGATGCATCCGAGCCCGATACGCTATCCCTCCAGTTTCTTCCCCTTTCGCCCTATAGTACGCCCGCAATGCGTTTATGTTCATATTTTTTGTCCAACGCATGCGGCGTACTCCACCAGCGGCAGGTGCCGCTTGCCGAGTCCGAGAGGACCCCGCCGACACCAAGCCGTCTGGTGGGGATGATGGACGCGAGGGGTTGCTAGGTGGTCCTGCAGCACCTCGCGCTCGGCTGGCAGCTCGCATGCTGTCACGTCCAGCGCCAGCTCCAGTCTGTTCTGGGTTCTATCCCATGGTCGGGCAAATTATTATTGGGTTTTTATAACTTGAAGTTCCCAGTAGTAGCACGGAGTCTGGATTTGTGTCCGGTGTTTCGCAATACGCGCACCCTCTATTACATGGAACGTATAACAAAACAGTACTACACACCTCTGCCTACTCCTTTTGGGAAATACAGGTGTTATGTTATGTTTATTAATTTAATGATGTTTCTATACAATTACATGTATTTACGGTAAATTATCGTCAATAATGTTCTGTGTCTATATTAGGCATGTTTGAAAATGTCGCAATTGATCGAAAATAGATCTGTTAATGATCGATTTAGTCGAGAATCGATACTAGTATGTTCGATTTGAATCGATTTGGGTTTTTTTTTCGTGAGAGACTGACAAGTGACAAGTGACCATTTAGTGACATCAAAAATAGAAGCGCCAAATACGAAACGATTCATGGATATTTCCAAAGATTTATTATAGCCATACGTTACAAACAGTATTACATACATCATCTTTTGTCATACGATATTATTAATATCATAACAAGTCTGACAATATCCTACTTTACTTATAATAACACATACGTCTCTTCTTCTTCCATACTTGTAACAATATTAATAATAACATCTGTATCTAGTCTTGCAATATTGC